GGGAATAAACATCTCAGTCTCTCTGTCCTCTCACTGTCTGACCTCCTCTTGGTACCTCCCACTGAGCAAACTCAACTAGAAACAGAGAACTTGGAGCACTCAACATTCTGCACAGCCATAAGCAGTATGGACAGGGAACCAGAGCAGGTGGGAAAAGCTGGTGGATGCATTTGCAGATGGAAAAAGAAGATGTCCGATACATTGTGCATTCCATTATTCTGAACCAAAAGAAAACTAATAAGCAGATATTCAAAAAGAGAAATGTATGAAGTAAAAGTAAGAGTCCTCTGGACACCCAGTTCTATCCCCAGGGATATAGTTTTATATGCACCCGTCCAAACAAACAAACACAAACCATATTTTAATTTAAGCATGCGATGAGATATCCCCTTTTAACACCAAATCATTATGATTTTTAGTTACATTTTAAAAGAAGTTAATAAGTACATTGAGATTTATGAAAAACAGTAAGGACTTTTGGTGGACCAAAACTTATGCAAACAAATAAACAAACAAAATCTCTATACTCTTTGATACCCTCTCTAACATCATAGATGGACCCCTTGCCTACCTAGGGTTTAGGCCCGTTCCATCTTTCTGCAATGGTGTCATCACAATGTTACCCCATCCCTAAAGCCATTCCATACTGTCTCATCTAGGGATACTCGTAGGATTTGGTCCTTATCTATGTCATGTTACCCACTACTTTCTACCTTGTTTTCCGATTTTATGTGTAAATATTGGGGTGCCTCGGTAGCTCAGTCGGTTAAGCGTCTGACTCCTGATTTTGACTCAGGTCATGATCTCACGGTTCCTAAGATAGAGCCCTGTTTCGGCTCTGCACTGATGGTGTGGAGCCTGCTTGGGATTCTGTCTCTCCCTCTCTCTCAGCTCCTCCCCCACACACGTGCTCTCTCTCTCTCTCAAAATAAATAAACAAATAAACATTAAGAAAAACATTATAGTTGTAAATATCATCTACTGTACTAGTATTAGATTTAAACTTTTTGAGGGGGGTGGTAATTGAAACCTGATTTAAAATTGTATCTCCCAAAGTCTGAGTGGAAATCTTGTCAGAGTGTGGAGGGAAGGGCAGCACACAGGAGTCATGAGCTCTGAGTTCACATCCTGGCTTGGTCTCCTCGGTGTTGTGGCCTTGGGCCAGAGCCTGCCATCTTCAAAGCAGAGTTGCCAGTAGGATTCAATAATTAGGTAGAACAATTTAAGTGGAAAAGAAAAAAAGAAGAATTACTAACAAAGACAAAAGGAGACTTAGATTTACAGAGAGAACAAACACAGCTATCACTTGGACAACACATGGTGAGTGAATAAATTAACGCATTTTAGGTTTACTTATCTACAAGTTGTAGAAGAATGTCATTTCAGTCTACACTACACAAGAAAGATGAGCAGGCTTTTAATTTATAAGCAAGTCACAATAAAAGTGCATTTCTGCAACCTGATTTTCTCTATTTTTATAATTTTGCTTCAAACATCTGTGTACTCAATTATCTGAACCCAGACCCAATTCTCACCTGTACCGTGATTTTGTCTTAGTTTTTGTTTTTCATTTAATTTTTTAAGTTTATTTATTTATTTTGAGAGAGAGAGAGACAGAGACAGAAAGCACAAATGGGGTAGGGGCAAAGAGAGAAGGAGAGAGAATCCCAAGCAGGCTCCGTGCCGTCAGCACAGAGCCCAACATGGGGCTTGCACTCACAAACCATGAGATCATGACCTGAGCTGAAACCAATAGTCAGACACTTAACTGACTGAGCCACCCTGATGCCTTTGTCATAGTTTTTTTTTTTTTTTTTTTTTTATATCAAATTGTCTACTCTAAATTCTGGAAGTATTGCTTTTCTATCCGTGATGATATGAGAAAGCTTACATAAGGGAAGCCATACCTTACTGCACTGTCTCCACTTTCTCCTATACATATTCTTTTCACAACTATTTTTATATAACAAATTGTCAATAATTGTCTTACATACAAAAGCACTTGTGCACATGTAGGTCAACAGCACTCCTGATGTCACGACACATAGGGGATTAGATCTGGCAATGTCTTGGCATTACTCTGTTCCGCCACAATGACAATGCTATGTAGGCCTTGGAATTGCTAAATGAAGATTTCACAGAGAAACTTCAGAGTAAGCTAAAAACCAAATAAACAGAGCAATTTAAAATGCTAAATGGCCTTATTTCTTCATCTTCCTCCTTATGCTCCTCCCCCTCCTCTTCTTTTTCCTCTTTTATTATGAGCCAGGGAAACTTCTCAAATTTTGTCTCCTATTACACTTTGATATGTCAGTGAAGATCACATGGTAAAAATCATAGGGTCTTCTTCTGGGTTTCTGACAGCTAAACTTACTATTAACAGCAAGAAGAGGATGAGAATGAACAATGACTTCTCATTTAAGGTCATAAGAAAGTTGTAAGGTCATTCTTGAACTAAGACCATTACACCAAAACATCCATAGTAAAAGGCAAATCATTTAATAGGTGGAAGTCATTGAGTGGACACTAACAACAACCCAATTACTTATTTGTAATCTGTCTTTTCAAGAAGTGCAACGATTGAATTAAGAATGAAAATTGTAAAGAAGTCAAAAAGTACAAACTTCCTGTTATAAAATAATAAGCCATAGGGATGTAATTAATGTACAGCACAGAGACTATAGTTAATAATACTATATTGCATATTTAAAAGTAGCCAGAAGAGTGGATCTTGAAATCAGTTATCATCATGAGAAAAAAAATTATAACCATGTATGGTGATGGATGCTAACCAGACTTACCATGGTGATCGTGCCACCATATATACAATTACCGAATCATTACACTGTACATTTAAAACTAATATAATCTTGAATGCCAATTACAGTCAATAACAAAAGAAGAAAAGGGAGACTTGTAATATTTGTTGAAAACCTATAAAACTTTTGTTTAATTTTATGCTGTCTTCATAGAGTGGATGCTGAAAATTCTTAATTAAAAATACCAAACAAACACACCTAAAGACACTTCAGCCCAAGCATCAGCTGATCTATGAAAGGTTTTTCATGCTGTGGCCACCACCAGTCTCTCATCTTGAATCGCTCCAATACCTTCACTTTGCCCTCAAACACCAGAGAAGATTTTAAAGTTCTACTGAAACGCTGTACTATTTCATGCCTCTGTGACTTTCCTAAAGGCAACACAATGGCAACATCATAGGGTCTTTCTTGAGAACTCCATCACCCTATCGGTAGGTACATTAGGACATTATCCCGAGGATCCTGGGAAGCAGCTGAGAAGGTTAAACTAAGATGTAAAACACCATTATTACAATTCAATTTAGAATGATCATTCTGGCATGGTTTATAAAACGTAAAGGAAGATTGTCACCAAGACACCAGGTAGGACACAGTTGTCCTAACCAACGTGAGAATCGTGGGAGCCTGAACTAAGGGAGTTTTTTAAGACCAAAGAAAAATGAATAAATTCACAATACATAGGACCCAGTGCTAAATCATGTATGGGGCTAGGTAAAAGGAATCATACAGTAGTTTCTAAATTTCTGGCTTCGACAACCTGAACAGAGGTTTCCTTCCTGTGCTAAGGAATATAGAAGTAGAATGTTGCACGTTTTGCAGTTATACTAGGTTACTTTGGTAAGTATTTGTAGGTGGGGACTACAGACGTCCTTCACTCAATCTTGGTCTCAGGTTAGAAAGGAAGCAAATGCTGTCACAGACATAGGGATTTATAGTAATGACCCCTTATCCTTGGGGATATGTTTTAAGACCCTCAATAGATGCCTGAAATCATATAGTATCAAATCCTATGTATAGTATGTTTCTTTTTCTCTGCATACATATATTTATATGATAAAGTTGAATATATAAATTAGGAACAGTAAGAGATTAACAACAGCAACTAATCATAAATGGAACAATTACCACAATATACTGTGATACAAGCTTTGTGAATCTGGTCTCTTTTTCTCTGAAAGTATCTAATAGTACTTTCCTCATCCTTTTCCTTGTGATGATGTGACATGATAAAGTGCCCACATGATGAGATGATGTGAAGTGAATGATGTAGGCTTTGTGAGGTAGTTTAGGTTACTACCGACCTTCTGATATATGTGGGAAGGAGAACCATCCGCTTCTGGATCGCAGTTGACTGACGGTAACTGAAACTGCAGAAAGCAAAACCGCGGAGGAGAGGGCACTACTGTATTAGCAATCTGACTCAAAAAACAGACATCCAACCTGTTCCGTAATTGTAAACAAGTCTGGCTGTCTGTCCTTTTGGGGAACCCTACAACAGCTTGCATAAAATGTTCACTGGAGGCAAAAGTGCTAATGTTCTAGCAGCAGGATTTAGCTAACCATCTATTTGGAGGGAGTTGTCCCAGAATCTTCTGGTTAGTTCTTGGATTTAAGCCAAGAGGACTATTCCTAGAGGCACAGACCTCTCTTTAGCTTCTTAAAAATATTTTCCAGCTCATTTAAATGACTTGAATACCACTAATTTCATAAATAAAATCTCTTTTTTAACATCCATTATGCTAGTTAACAAAACCTCTGATCTTGTTGGGAAACAAAGAGAGTTGAATCACTTGAAGCAACCATATCTTTTAATTAAATGCCAAGACTCACCCTGGGAGTATTTTCTAGATTAGGGCCAACTGACTACCTCTGGGGTGTGGATGAAAACTAACACGCACATCACACTGACAATGCTGAAGTGGTTTAAGCAGATGGCAGACAACGTAACGGAGGAAAAATAATGTGTTCAGTTTGGGACATGCTTACTGCAGGTGGCAAGTGAAGATAGTTGAGTAAATGTTTAATTATACGGATCTGATATATGGAAAAAATTATAGATGCATATTCAATTTGGAAATCGCTAGAGTGTGATGTTTTTCTATTTTTGCTCATAAAAAAAGTAGAGCACAAAGATAGCACTTATTGATCCATTTTTTTCTTTTACTCAACATTTGTTTTAAGTGTCCATTATGTGCCAGATGCTGTGTTTGGTCCAAGAATAGGAAGTCAACGTCACAGACCCTTCTTTCAAAAAGCTCACGTCTAGGGAGAGTATGAGTAAGTACGTATAAGTAATACGATTTCGGTGGGATAATAGAAAGTAGTCTCTTCCCATCGCAATAAACAACTGTAATTGAGAACACACTCATTTCTTAGAATTTAACCTTTTGCCATAAAATGGCAAATAAAATTGGTAAAATTGTAATGACAATTATGCAAACTGCACTTTAATACATCTTAGAGTTTGGGAAAACTGCCTCCAGAATGGGTCAGGCAGGAGATAGCAAATGTTTGTTAGGATATGGAGCAAAAGTGTGTTATGGGTGCTCTGTCGGTGGCAGCTGAAATTGGTACTGCTACAGTGGAAAACAGTATGGAGGCTCCTCAAAAAATTAAAAATAGAACCACCGTGTAATTCAGCGATCCCACTTCTGGTTATCTATCCTAAGGAAAGGAAATCACTCTCAGGAAGGGATATCTGCATTCCCACGTTCACTGCAGCACTATTTACAATAGCCAAGGCATGGAAACAATCTAAGCGTCCGCTGGCAGATGAACAGATATAGAAAATGTAAGATTGTATAGAATGGAGATCCTGCCGTTTGCAACAACACGGATGGATCTTGAGGGCATTCTACATGGAGACTGTAGTTAACAATGCTGTGTTGTATCCATGGAAGTTGCTGTGAGAACGGTTTTAAAGTTGTCACCATAATAACAATAAAAAGGCAATTATGTGAGGGGAAGGGTATATTAACTAACCTTATACGTGTAAAAATGCATGTATTAACGAACCAACATACACGTGTATCAAATCATCACAGCATACACCTTAAACTTACACAATATTATATGTCAATTATATCTCAAAAAAGCTGAAGAAAAAGAGAATGACTGAAAGCTATGTACAAAAGGGGGGATCTGAAGAACCACAGCAACAACCTATAGCATAGATCATGGGACATAGCTCGCAATAATTCCCCCATATTTGCCACAAAAGGGCTTCATTTCCTAAAGAAGCAAACGGTTGTAGATGAGCCTCCAGGTGCTACAAGAGAGCAGTAGCTGGGTGAGTAATGACATTTTTTCCATATTAAACAATTTTAACAGAGAATTAATTGACCTATGGTTTAAATTAATGGGATTACATAATGTTTATTGAGTTCCCCAGAGGGGGAAAATTGAGGTGCAAAATTTGCCCTTGAAATTGTAAAATAAGGAAAATAAATGAATATACATACACATATGTACACATACACACACATACACACCTATACATTTTCATTCCACATGTGTGTATATTTATTATATTTTTTATGAGAATGGAAAACCCACCTGTTTTAAGTTCTGAAAAACATCTTGAATGCCTAACAAATATTACCAAATTTCCAAACTGTTTCGCCAATCACTGTTTCTTAATTTTATAACTTAGGTGGATATCAAGGGAAATTTAATCCTTGTGTTTCTGATTCTTTTGCATTTGTCCCCCCCCCCCACCCCAAGTGTTTCATAGGAACCATTTGAAGTCTAAAGGGACTTAGAGGTCTTTTGTTTTAAGCACATTTAAGATGGTTTATTCAGTTAAGTAGCATTTTGTCAGGATCAAATGGATATGAAACTCAGAAGCCTTAAATTATTTTGAAACTTTGAAGACTGATAAACATCATCAATATTTATTTAGCACTTTTAGGTCTACTCTAGTCAAAAATGTAAATATACCAAAGGGATCTTAGAGCACTTAACTATTTTTTTTAATTACACTTTCTTTTTCTTTATGAGAAAGCAACAAAAATTAGTATAAACAACCATTTGAACAAACACTGAATTGGACCTTACATGATATGAGCTGAAGGTCCTGGTCATTGCCCAAATATGATAAATGAGACTGTTTATCCTGACATTCAAGATTATCTTATCCTTAACCAGCTACTGCTCCCTGAATGGTCCACAGGGAAAACATATGTAGGAGAACTGTTCCTAGCAAAGGACCAGTCTGTTTGACCATTAAGAACTTTGATTCCCAAGTCCGACACAAAATTCTACGATCCAAGCTTGAATCCTGTAAATGATGCTTTTAGCCTAAGGAGAAAGTTCTGCATTACATGGGCTCTGGGTCAAATTTAGGTTTGTATTTTTGATTCTACCATTTACTAACGATAGGATCTTAAGTGAGATATGTAGTAGCTTAAAGTCATTAGATTCTGTAGATGAAACATTAGGATAATCACAGTTCCTACTTATTATGGTATCTGTAATTTATCTTAAAATATTTTAGTATAGGTGCAGTTAATAGTACATTCAGGAATGATACACACCAGGAAGCCATACTGAGAAGAAGCTAATTGAATTCTGTTGTTGATAGCTCAATCAACATAATATACTTTAATTAGCATGGATATAAGTTGTTATATCTGTAAGATCGGTGACTTGGTAATTAGCATTGACGAATGCTAGCAATGTGCTTTATGAAGAAAAATTAAAGTTTCAAGATACGTGGATTGGCTTAAATATTAAAAGAAAACACTACCAATGCACTCCATCTTTGGGTAAACAAGACAAAAGAATCTAAGGAGTTCAGCAGGTTTTACCTTTGCTGTTAGTGTCCATATGATTTCTAACTTTTTTTGGGGGGAGGGGTGGTAAATTGATTCCAACTTAGTGTTAATGAAACTCTGCCTTTATATCATCATCTGCCTTAAACAGCCTACTGCTTCATGTTGGAGGTAACTAAAAAGACAGACCTGGATGGGGCGTCTGGGTGGCGCAGTCGGTTAAGCGTCCGACTTCAGCCAGGTCACGATCTCGCGGTCCGTGAGTTCGAGCCCCGCGTCGGGCTCTGGGCTGATGGCTCAGAGCCTGGAGCCTGTTTCCGATTCTGTGTCTCCCTCTCTCTCTGCCCTTCACCCGTTCATGCTCTGTCTCTCTCTGTCCCAAAAATAAGTAAACGTTGAAAAAAAAAAAAAAAAAGACCTGGGGTTCATCAAAACTACCGAATAGGTCATGTGAACCGTTCTGTATCTGCTTGCTAATAATACTTATTTAATTAATGATTTTATTATGTTGCAGAATTTGATATGAGATTTGCTTATGTTAGAGAGGTTGTGAGAAAGTAGCTAAGTCACATATCTCAGATTGTTACTGTGGACATTATGTACCTCACAGAATAAAAGAGTTATTTTGCATTACCTAATTGGCTTATTGAAGTCATAAGGCAACCTTATATGATAGAGATGAGAAATAAGGAAGAAATCCATACTGAGCACTCTGGACAGTTATTGGTGCAGAGTCAGAGCTCAGGAAATAGTTACTACTATGAGTGCTAAAGTGATCTGGAACCAAAATAAGCCATACGCCTTCTACTTCCTCCAATACGTGCCTGAGTGTCAGATTTTATCACCTACTTCAGGAAAAGCCTTTTCTTTTTCAGAAAGAACATGAGAGTTTTTGCCTACGCATAGGCAAAGATGGTTCCGGCTACCCATCTCGGACCTTCTCAGACCAAGCAGAGCTGTAGCCTCTAGGCTTGTCTTACCCTGTAATGCATTTGGAAAGCACCATATTCTCAGGAATAGAAAAGGTAGGAGCCAGGGAGAGGTTGTATTTCTCTAGCCCTGAGAAACTAGGAAGTCCTGATAGGTCCTGTAACATGCCCAGTAAATTCCTGAGCCTCAGAACGAAGGCTTCATAAGACATTGTGGAATTTAACCAATTTAACTTGTTTAGTCAGAACAGAAGGAGAGTGTGGGGGTGGGGGAGAGGACTTCCTTTTCCAAAACAAAAAGAAGCACTGAAAAGGTCTACCTGTGGTTTGAGTGATGTGATGCATTAAATTATATATAATTTATATATATAATGCATATATACATACACATAATATACACACATACATGTACATATATATATATGGATATATATATACATATACATCATACAAAATATATGGCTATATGGAAATATAGACAACTAGAGTGTGATTGTTTAATTTTTGGTACTTTGAAGTACTTTACTTTTTTAAAAAAAAATTTTAATGTTTATTTTCGAGGAGAGGGGGAGGGGCAGAGAGAGGGAGACACAGAACTTGAAGCTGGTGAACTCACCAACTGTGAGATCATGACCTAAGCTGAAGTCAGATGCCTAACTGATAGCCACCCAGGTGCCCCAGAAGTATTTCACTTCTTTATGCAAACAACTGTACTTGTCCAATGGATATATATAATTAAAATGCTGGCAATCAGTCCACCAACAAAATGAGATTTTTTTGTATTGTGTTTCCTTTCTTGTTTGTTTGTTTGTTTAATATGCATTCTCCTGAGAAGACTAAATTAAAGCCAGAGTAAGGCCGCAGGAATACTTTGTCAAAATCACATCTTTTTTTATAAAATTAGTAGCACTTAATGTGTTCTGAGGTTGGCAGAGAACTGGAAGTCAGGTGCTAGGGGCAGAATGTGGCAGAAAATGGATGCAGTGGTGCCTGGATGGCTCAGCTGGATAAGCGTCAGACTCTTGATTTTGGTTCCAGTCATGGTCTCATTGTTGGTGAGTTCGAGCTCCACATCGGTTCTCTGCCCTGACGGCGTGGAGCCTGCTTGGGATTCTCTCTCTGCCCCTTCCCTGCTTATGCTCTCTCTCTGTCCCTGTCAAAAATAAATAAATAAACATTACAAAAAAAAAAAAAAAAAAAGAAAGAAAAGATTTGGGCGCCTGGGTGGCTCAGTCAGTTAAGCGGCTGACTTTGACTCAGGTCATGATCTCGAGGTTCTTGAGTTCAAGCCCCACATCTGGCTCTGTGCTGACAGCTCAGAGCCTAGAGCCTGCTTTGGATTCTGTGTCTCCTGCTTTCTCTGCCCCTCCCCCACTCATGCTCTCACTGTTTCTCAATACTGAATAAAAGTTAAAAAAATTTTTTTTAATTAAACAAATTTTAAAAAAGAAAAGAAAATGGATGCAAACTGTATCAAATGAAGGAGTCTGGCCCACCTTTCAAATCTGGCCCAGTGTATAGGAGCTGTCTAGCGCAATTGGGAGATGTATGATAGGCTCCGCTCGTATTCATTTTTAAAGTTTAACCCTGAGTCATTTTACCTAAATCAAGAAGGTATTTTTAGAGTCAGATCGTGTATGCTTCTCATAAGCAGCAGAGGTACTGGATATCTGTTCCAACTCAAATTTTGGAAGCAGTTATTCTTCTCGAAAGTTATTTTTTTCCTGTGGCATTTCATGGAAAACACTTGCTGTAGCCAACAAGCTATGGATATGTTTTCTTAGGCTGAAGAGATTCTTATTATGAATAAGCTAATTGAAGCCATGGGAAAAAGTGCAATTAAAGAATTTTTGGTTTATAATACATCATGTAGTTGGAAATAATCTTGAGAAGTCATCGAATTCAACTCTTGTATTGAGACTAAGGGACACCCTTAACCACCCCTCCCCTCCAACAAATGTCTATCTGTCCTGTTTTTGAAACAATTTAGGTAGTATAATATAAGCCTGCTAGGTAAATTCTGCCCTCTAGTATATCTTAGAATTGTAAAGTTACTTGAATATCTTTTGTTGCAAATTAAACTAAAAACACCATAAAAATATAAGCCATTTTATTATTTTTTTGTATTATCATTTGTGATCTGATTCTGGGGCCTCCATATATCTTCTAGTGTACTATCTTTCATTTTCCACTATTTCCATTTCTTTCTTGCATAAATTAGGAATTTGGTGTTGCTGCAAGCAACAAAGACTAATCTGAATTAGCACCACAATGAGGTGGCTATGTAATGTGTCATTGTGGCTAGGCTGAATTAATATTTCCCAGAATGCCCATTAAGGATGTTTCATTAGGGTAAGAGACAAAGAAGATTCTCTCCAGAGCTGGAGAGATGAAGGAAGGAAGCAGCCATCCTATAGCATACATATGTTGTTGCTGATTTGCTGACTTATCTTCTTGGTGAGAAACAACAGCTTGTCCTACAATTGCTCTCCCTTACCTCTGGATCTTCTGGATTCCTCTGACTTCTGAACTAGGTGTGTTAGGGTGCATGGTCAGTGCCTCGAGGAGGGGCTCTGGCTTCTGCAAGATATTCATTTTAAGGTCAGTGGCAATAAGAATGGACACAGGCCCCAGTCAATCCTTGGGGATTTCTAACTTTTCCTCATGGGGTTCCAGTCTGCTGGTGATCTTCTCTTCCAGACCGTCTGCCCTGAGAACTTTGGGCTCTGACATGAAATGTGGAGACAGCCTTGCGGAGACTTCTTAGCCAGCTGCCATAATTAGGTAAGCAAGTACCCGGTAATAAATTCCTTAATATATCCCTATATATTCTATTGGTTCTGCTTCTCTGGTTGAACCCTGCCCACTACATGCAGGAAACGGAATTAGAGACCAAGAATTAAGATTAGAAATCAAGACTGGCCTTTGTTTCTGTCCTTCCTTATTCTTTTTTTTTTTTTAATTTTTAATGTTTTTATTTATTTTTGAAACAGAGACAGACAGAGCATGAATGGGGGAGGGGCAGAGAGAGTGGGAGACACAGAATCGGAAGCAGGCTTCAGGCTCTGAGCCATCAGCCCAGAGCCTGACGCGGGGCTCGAACTCACGGACCGTGAGATCATGACCTGAGCTGAAGTCGGACACTTAACCGACTGAGCCACCCAGGTGCTCCTGTCCTTCCTTATTCTAATTTCCAGTTTCTCTTTCTCTTTATAGTATGCATGTCCAGAAAACATGTTGGATAATATGTCCGTGAGAGTTAGTAGAAGCACTTACATGTCCAGCTACCTGAAGAGACATGAATTCCCTTATTCAGTATCTACTTCCTCTCGTGACAAATTCTAAATTCTCAGGAAAGACTCTGTAGAACTCATGAGAATCCTAATCTCTAGCTTGGAGCAATCTGCTGTTTCTGGGGAAGCTGACTATGTGGAAGGAATTGGGCTATGTCTGGTGCCCACCACTAGTCCAAACAACTGTGTCAAGTGCAGCAAGGTTAGGTTGAACAGAATGACCAGTGGGATTCCAATGGCATTTTTCACATGGACAGGAGAAATTAGGGACCAAGCTGTCCACTGTTGCCAGGACTGATAGTTATCAGAACATACTGATAGGGTCATGATGGTTGTTTCCTGCTGATGCTTATGCCATGTAAGCTGTTAAACATTTTCATATTACCCCTGCCCATAGATTTAACTTAAAATAGTCATTCGCCTATACAAAACATTTTATCAGGGTTTGTAATAGGCATAAGCACTGTATTGGTGTCGGGGGAAACAAAGTTGAGTTAGAAGGCAAGGTTGTAGGCTATGAGTGCATAATTTAGCAGGAGAGACAGACACTTCCAACTTCATGTGAAGGAAGCATTGGATTCAGAGTCAAACATGTTAGATTTATTCTTTGCTTTTTCATTTACTATCTTTTTGACCAGATAATTTTATGGTGTGGTAGTTTTGTAAGGAAACATACGACTGTGTCCTACATTCTAACGTCATCACTTAACAATCGATACAAGCTTGGGTCAATTATTTAATCTTCCCAGGATAGTGTTTGTGTCTAAAACATAGGGATAAGATTTTTAGGAAAACCAAACAAGATACTATATGAAATAATGTAGTGTAACAGCAATACCTTTCCTTTTACATTAAAACCTTTGTTTGCGGGCATAATTCATTCCAGAACATGCTTGTAATCCAAAGCACTTGTGTATCAAAGCGAATTTCCCCACAAGAAATAATGGAAACTCAGATGATTCATTCCACAACCCGAAAAGATTCACATAAAAATGATTACAATATGGTAATATAATACAAGATAATAAAGAATATACAACATATAAAGAAAATAAAGTAAACTGCATTTACATTTGAAAACCTTTGTGGCTGGTGTGAGGGAGACAAGAGGGAGGAGGGTTATTGTGATGGATGACTTTCACTATCACTAATGGAATCACTGCTATCTATTGGCTCCATGGTATCTTTTTGTTTTCATGCAATGTCAACAAGGAACCTATCCAATGACCTAGAATGAAGCAAAGCATTCCTAAGCTTCCTCTTGTAAGGAAAAGCAAAGAACTGTCCATAGGTGCTTTGAGGTGACAAAAATACACTAGTGCCTATTGTGGGCACCTTCCAATGTTCTAAAAAAATCACTGATTTCTGCCAAACACCGTGGCCTGAGACCAAGCGTCGGAATATGGGAGATGATCACCCACAATCCCACAGTGAGGGGGAGGTGAGGGAAGAGAGAGAGAAAACATTGGCTCAGCTGTGATCATGTGAAGTTCGGCATCATGTACTACTTGTATTGTAAGACATGGCTTGATAATCAAGTTAAAATTTATTAGAAATGTTTGCTTGTCTTCCAGAACACTTGCAGAACAAGTTACTCACAATCCAAGGTTTACCAATATTTTCATTTCTTGGACCCTTTTGTTTTTAATCATATTTGATTTTTTTAAATGATGAATGCTAATTTTTTCAAATTCTTTTTCAGCAATTAGAAGTATAACTATAATTTTTAAATTTGGCCATTTGATCAATCGTATAAATAGATTTTTCAACATAAACCATCTTATATTTGTAGAAATAATCCTGCTTGGTATTTTATTATTCTCCTGGATTTAATTGACCAGAAATGTATTTAAGGTTTTTTTTTAAGTCTATATGTAGTGGGTACATCTTGACGCACAAACTCAAATATGGGGGGGGGGGGGCAGAATCACAGTTTTTATTATCTTTAAATCAATTTAATTCCAACTTCAAGCACTCATGCCCCTAGTTTGGCAGAAAATTCAAAGTCAGTTATTCTTGAGTTTCTTTTATATTATGAGAGTATAAAGTTTCTAGGGTCTCTCAAAGTACCGAGGCTTTGGAGGAAATCCCTTGTCCTCAGTCATCCCTGCTCCTCACTTGCTCCCCAGCCACCTATCACTCAGTTCTAGATCCCTAAGTGGCCATTTTCTTCACAGATTTTACTGCTTCTTAGACCAGACCAGACCAGAGCTCAGGCCCCTGATGTTTAGGGACTTGTAAATCTCTCTTTTCTCACCAGCTGGAGGGAATATCTTTTCTTCCCTCTAAGTAAAAGCTGATCTCCACCATGAAAATACCCTAATCTCTTCAATGAAGTGTTTTTTTGTTTTGTTTTGTTTTTTGTTTTTTGTAAAAATGGAGAGAGAATCATTCAGAAAACCTCAAAGTAACAAATTACAAATCATAACAGCTTGGGGCTGAGTGGATGTGGAGAACAGCAACATAATTTGATAACGTGAATTGTGACACTTTCCACCTCTTCCATGCTTGGGAACAGTTTAAACGGTACAAAAATATCAGCTCCTTCTCAGGGTTTGGAAGGCTTTCTTGCTAAAATCATCTGAGCTTCATGCCTTTTCAAAGAATAGCTCTTTTTATGAGGATATCAATTTACTACATGGTGATGGGTCGATTAAGATTTTCTACTTTGTCCTGTGTCAATTTTGGTAATCTGCATTTTTCCAGAATAATTATTCATTTCGTTGGAATTACATGTATAGCACAGAATTATGCATAGTATTATAATTTTTAAAATCCTACCTGTTTCTGGGATTGTATATTTTTATTTTTACATAATAATGTTTTCACTTTTTACTTGATCAGCTTACTTAGAAGGTTTGGGTATGTTGCTGTTATTTTTCAAAGGCTCTGCTCTTGGATTTTTTAAAAATTAATTCTAACATAATTTTTCTATTTATACATTTCTGCCTCTTCTTTTATCCTCTTTCAATAAGTTTGTTTTCTTTTTCTAACTTCTTGAGTTGAGGCTTAATTCATTTACTTCCAAGCCATCTTGTTTAATAAGGTATGCATGAAATGTTGTGCATATGCCTCTGATCCTGGTAGTGATCGTATCTTAGATTTGACGTGGCTTGTCATCACTTGTAATTTTTTTGGTAATAAAAGTTTTGTATTTTGTATTTTAGGAGAATATTTAAAATTATTACATTATTTGGTACATTTAAGTGTTTAATATAGACACATACACACATTTTTCCCTATTTTTATTGAATCGTGGCCGCAAACATATTCTCTGAAATTTCAGTTTTAAAGAGTTTATATGATCTCATACTTTTAATATCAAGAGTCTATTTTAATCTTCACTTTCTTTTTCCATAGAACATATAACAGTGAAGTTAAGAGTTCAAAACTAGCTCTAGAACTTTCTTATACGGACTGCACTGACTTTGTTCTCCCCATGGCTCCTTTTTGCCTTCAGGAACTTCACTGTTTATTACTCATTGGTCTCTTATGCTCTGGTAGATTGCAGGTCTCTCATTTCATGGAACTTTCTCTGCCCTTGACTCATGAAACCCTTGACTTGTTCTTTTTATACCTCCTTGGCTATTATTCTTGAGACACTTCATTAATTATTCCTTCTCTGTGCATTCCTTTATTATAGTTTTCACTAGAATTTTTATCTTTGGTTCACTGTCTCTCTCTCTCTCTCTCTCTCTCTCTCTCTCTCTCTGTTTTTCTGCAAATTACATTGTGTTGGGCAAGCTCTTTTATTTCTACACAATCAAATAAATGTATTTTACACTTTCTTATCAGTAGCTTACTGCCACCTGGACATAATCACCAGAACATTGTCTATGAAGTTAATATAATATCAAACATAAGGTAATAATAATAAAAAAAGATTTCTGTCACATGGAATTAAAATATTCTTGAAGACTTCAACCGTAAGTATGTGAAAAGTGTCTTCATTACTATCACATAACCTACACTAAAGAAATAGAATGTCTTTCATACAATAAGTAAAGTAATAATAAAAAAAGATGGACTTGAGTTCATTTAGATGTATTACCATTGATTCTCTATTGTATCTCTGTAGGTTTCTCAGGCCAATTTCTTTCCATTAAAATCATATTATCCTTATTAAAATGGAGTTATTCAGTTACAGAGAATTCCAGAATTGTTTGAAGATATGTTACAGATTATGAATGAAAGATATAAATGCAACCAAAACTTCAATATCAGCCTCTGTAAAATATTGTGAGTTATCTTTCCTATCTCGAAGTCAATATAGGGGAAAATTTTGTGAACATTAATCACCAACCAGCTATGCATCAGCTTCATGGGTATATGATATGCAAACCAGATTGTCCTCACTAATTATTATGTATTGCATGACATACAATATTCTATTACAAAATAAAACATCTTATTAAAATCAAGGTGGGGTGACTGGAGTTAAGCATCCAACTTCTGATTTTGGCTCAGGTCATGAGCTCATAGTTCATGGAA